TATTACACGAGGGCTCGTTTAGTATTCTATATTTATGTCTACGTAGAATTGTGTCACAATATTTACGTTCCTGAACAAAATGGAACTTTAAAACTTTCTTTCGGACAGGAGATTTACATTTAAGACACCATTTTGCAGCTTCGCATGCTTTGTCCCATTGCTGTAGGAGCTCTAAACACCAGGAAGGTTTACGGACAGATTTAGATTTGTAATTAGAAAAAAATAATTCAGTAGGTAAAAGCGACCCTGTCTAATTCTGAATACATGCATGAGACAAAATCTGCGTAAGCTGTATTAATATCGCCTTGAACAGACAATTCAGATTCAATTTTAGTAATTGTAGCATTAACCTTATCTGAATACATACGGTCATTCACAAACGGGAGTGGTATTTTGCTTTTAACATAGAATTTGGATTTTACTTGTGTATGTTCTTCCTGAATACCCTGACAACAAGGAAGGGAAATATCGCACGTTAAAATCAGGTGGCCAGGGATACTATCGGGAACATTGCAGCCATTGACTAGTGATGACATAGTAAGAACATCAAACGTTTTAAAGGGACACACATGCTCATGGGCTGTAATAATGTAATCTACTACTGATGACCCATTCTTGGCGTATGCATAATTCTGTGTTCCAAACCGACCATTTAGCATACACAAATTGGCTTGGGTCAAAAAATCAATTAACAGACTACCATATGAATTGTCCCTTCTGTCAATAACTCCCCTATCTGGGATACCATCAACCCCCTCAATAAAATCCCTCTCACAACCAACACGTGCATTAAAATCCCCACATATGCAAACAATTCCTTCATTCTGATATTCATACAGATTATCTAACAACAACTGAAAAAACATTTCACCATCATTCACACGTGACGAAGATACAGGGGGTAATAACAAACACATAACACTCTTCTAAACTCAGGTACGACCTTTGAAGTTAATCTATACCAAATAATGTCATGTGTACATTTATCTAAAAGTTCCACACTAAAAGACTGTAATATAGACTTTTTGAAGAAGGCACCGACGCCTACAAAGCCCATTTTGGCACGTTTGTGTTGATCTCGGCGATTATTACCGATCCATGTGTAACTGTCTATAGACAAATTATTATTACATTTAAGAAATGTTTCGCAAACACCAAACGCATCATACTCCAAATTGTGAACAACACTTTCACGGAATGATTTATTGTTGAGGTCTCTCTGTGCCCAGCCGCCAGTGTTCCAAAAAGCTATCCGGAATATGTCCTATTCCTTTGCTGTCACCAGGCGTTTCCCGTGGAATCTGAAGATACTCGATCGACTTGCCGAATTCTTTGATTATTGTCTGAATGTTCGATCTATTAATCAACTCTTCTTGAGTGAGGGCTGAACCAGTGGAGACACGGGAAAAGTCCTTACTTTTCTTCAGATCCTTTTTACACTGCAAAAGTTTTTTCTTCTGGGCTGTTGTCTCCAAACTGAAAATGACAACACCCAGCTTATCATCCGAGCGCCTTTTCCTGACTACATGTGCTGCACGGAAGTCGACGAGCTTCAGACCATCACGGATCACTCTGTTTACAATATTACATGTGATATTATTGTCTTTGGCCTCACGCGCATCAAATGGTAGGTTCCGCACTAAAACCATACAATAAGACTGTTTGACAGAAAATGGAAAGATTTGGCAAATGAACTGTCTAGTTAATATGTCTCTATTTTTTTTAAATATTTATTTATTTTTTAAATTTTATTATTATTTTAATTTTATTTTAAATATTTTTTTACTATTTTTTTACACAACCAATTTGTAAGGATTTAACTTCACACTTAGTTTATAAATATGGCAAAACTTGCTGACCTTCTTTCTGCTGTATAGGTAACCTCTACCTAACAAGTATGCTACAAGATGTGCTACTCCATGTATAACTATGTAATGTCATATACTGAATTGAATAAAAAATATTAAAAAAACAAACAAACTTTGACTGGAGTAGGTCCGATAGTTTTTCAGACATTGTAGTAAACGTCGGTACCTTAAATGAACTTCCAGACTATATATGCAACTATTTTCAAAAACGCGAGAACGCGAGATTGCGATACTTGACCAATGTCGCGATCTCGCGTTGTTCTGTCAATTACCTATACAATCATCTAGTGGCTCAGTCGTCTGAGGCGTCGCAATTTGCTATGTAGAGTTGCGTTCCTTGGGCGTGCCAGAAACCTATGATGTCGCATTCTCGCGTTGTCTCGCGATAAAAAGTGCTATGTTTTAAAAACACGAGAATGCGAGATCGCGACATTTTGGCCAAATCACGCGATCTCGCATTCTCGTGTTTTTTGGCATAGTTAGCTCGTTTCCAAAGGTCGAGATCGCGAGAATGCGAGATCGCGAGAATGTCCCTTACAGTAATCCATACATGGCTGATAGTATGCCAAATATATCCAATGTGCTCATGTTACGGTCTGTTGCGGCTCCGTTCCCCGGCTTATTTCCGGCACGGCTCGGCAAAGTCCGGCGGTCTTCTTGACACATTGTCAATATATTTTGTGTTAGAGAATATATGGCTCGACCATTTCATTCTCTTGTGATCTTATGTCACTCTCAATCCATGTATTGACTTGGTGTGTGTTATCTCGTCTATGTTCGCAACCTTATTATTGTATTTAAAATGTTTTAGTAACTATTATTTTCCAATATGAAGGGGATTCATATGTACATTAAGAAATTTCTCATGTATTTATGAGGGGAGCACGGGTGGCCAAGCCGTCATAGCCGCCGCGATTCGCTGTGCAGAGTTGCCTCCCTTGGGCACGACAGAAACCGATGATTGTGGGTTCGAATCCCGGTTCGCCCCGATTATGTTTCTAGGTTTGTCAGCACCATACCCGTTCTTGTGGGTTACACCGAAGTGGTAAACGTCCGAGACCTGCATCACTTCGGATTTTCCTTCCACTTTAAGCTGACACGCCGCGATATAACTGGAATACTGTTAAAGCGGCGTTAAACCCAACTCACTCACTCATGTATTAATGATCATTTTTGCCTCATAAATAATTGTACATAGCTTGTTGTAAATCTTTAATGATAGCTTATGTTCAGCGCTTTATGTTGATCCTTACATCTTTTGTGTAGATATCGTATTTAGTCTGCTATCAGAGTTTTCCCCGTGTGTACAAACACACGTTGGCCAGACGCCCCTGTCTGTTGCATTCCCAGGAAAGAACGTCCGCGCTGTATATGTACGTCTTTCTTGATTTCGTTGCTTCGCCGTCCAGGTTCCGTTTGATCGTTCACGATCGTCTCCCTACTGAAGTGGTCACGTTCGCAACTCAGGTTTCGTCAGTTAGTGGTTTTCGGGACCTAGATTCTGACTTTGTCTGGTTGTACAGAACTAAACTTAGTTACTCGGCTTTGTAATCTTCGTTTTTGCTGGTAATCCGTTGATAACCAACCTTCCCGTGATTGTCTCGCATTTTGGGTTTTTAGTATTACCTTCAGTCAGAGTGACTGAAACTTTAGCCGATGGAGACTAGTTTATATTCAGACGTTATCATCTACTTTGTAGTCTAAGTGACCTATTTTTTGGGATAAGCCCTCTGTGTTTATTTCCTGTTATAGCCGAGATTATTCGCTAAGTAGAGTATTGAGTTAATTGACGGGGTCATAATTAATCGCGGCCTCTTATGGTGTCCACCCGATCCGTCGAAATTCTGAAATTAAGGTAGGTAAAATAATTCTACGGATCGGGAAAGTATATTCGTGTTTACTCAACGTGTCTGCAGTTACAGTATTCCATTATTTTTACTCATGGGGGTGATAGGGAACTTGACGCTGTCAGGGACAGTATATACAAACAAAATAGAACATTATCAAATTAAAATAATCAGTTAACATAGAAAACGATATAAAATAGTAATAATAATGTTACCTTTGCAACTGTCATTCTTGGTCTTGTTGACGCTAAACTCAAACCCTCTATGATAAGCAAATAGTGAGCCATGAGCATTGGAAAGATAGCGGACTTCAACTGCAACGTTGGCCATAATTGAAATAAGTGAAATGTTGAGAGAGAGAGAGAGAGAGAGAGAGAGAGAGAGAGAGAGAGAGAGAGAGAGAGAGAGTATTAGTGATTTTACGACCGCTTCAGCCGTCGGCTATTTCGCAGTCGGGGCCAGACTGGTTAAAGATAAAAATTAATAATGGGGAATAAGAAAAGTAATCGGCTGGCCCAAAAAACTGTAAATTAGGGGGGGATAAAGATAGAAAGAAATATAGTGAAGAGGGTAGAAAGGGATAAGAGAGCTTAGTGGAAGTTTTGAACTGTATAGAAACCTAGGCTAAATGGGAACAATAATGGAATATAATATAAGATCAGTTTGGCTGATGTGTTAATCTAGTATTCTATCTAATAAAAGCAACAACAAAAAACCAGTGGGGTGGTGGGAAACCTACTCTAATAAACATTGGGCTTATGCGGCGGGGGTGGGGGAGGCGCGTGTCAGGGGTGAATGGTCGTCGTCTGCTACGGAGCTGGGCTTGGGTGAGCGGCTGGTTAAACGGGCATGGTTTTTAGTGGCTGGATATGAGTGAATTTTTCGCGCGGACGTTGGAGAAGACAATCCGCGCTCGGAATTTGGATGTTGTGAAATGTTATCGAAAAGTGTGATAAATATATATACCTAAATAAAACAAAAGCGGCAAAGATCACATTTGTTTTATATAAAAACATCAATTTATTTTATAAGCTTCTTGCAAGGTCGCAACTGAAGTAATGTTGTCATAAGTAACCTCCGAGCTCAACATGCCACGTTTGACTCAAAAATATAAAACAAACATATGTTGTGTTTTCATTTTAAATCATATAAGCTTAATCTCTCATTTTTTTACTGTAAGCCTCTTAGTTGCTACCATCCGTTCACCCCTTAATTAGTGAAAGCAGATGCGCCCAGTGAGTAGTCATGGTTGAGTGGTAGCATATGTTTGACACTTTTTTTCTACAAATTGAAACATTGTAATTTCAGAAGTCCGACGGATCGGGTGGTCACCGACTTAATTGGCTGCCTTCGCATCTGGTCGGTATCTTGTCAAAGTGTTGTTTGTAGCTACCCATTTTATTACTGTAATATATATAACTGCTCAGCTAAACCGCTTTGTATATTTGCACTAATGTAATTAATCAGTGATCCCTGTTAGATCTGATTTTGTTTATTTGATCACTTGTTGTCATCTATTAGTTCAATTAGCCGTTATTAATGAACCTATTACCACGTTTTCTTTATTGGTTTATTCTTATTTCATGTCACCTCTGATCATTGAATCACAGCTCCGTGACATATCCCATTATGTTTATTTTTTAATCGATCGTTAAAAGTAGCGATCTTTCCAGAAAACTGGAAACTCGCTCACGTCATGCCATTATACATTGTACAAGAAAGGTGACAAAGCATGTACGACCAGCTACATACCAGCATTCATTTATACCTTCTTCAATCAAGCTGTGGAATGACTTACCCCTTGCATACAGAAGTGCAACATCATTGTCAAATTTTAAACAGATGATTAAAACAACTATTGCAGTTCCACCTCCATACTTCTTAACCGGCAACCGAAGAGCTAACTTTTTACATACACGTCTAAGACACTCTTGCAGTTCCCCAAACGCAGATGTCCCAATTACACAATTCCCAGAAATATCATGTTCGCTAACATTGTACAGCTGGAACTACATGCACAGTGCTCTACGGAATCTCTTGAGGCCACAACAATCTAATTTTCAACAGCGTTCAAAAATATATACTGTCGACTAATACATTCGAGTAACTCATTATCTGAGTTCAGAATATTCTCCTGCGACCACTTACTATTAATTACGACCTTGGTGTTGAACTGCATACATATATATGAATATTTGCGTGTGTCTGCCTTTGTCTGTAAGCATAATATATACGGGTATGTGTATGTCTTTAGATGTTTGTGTATAATCATTCCTTATTTCAGAATCAAATGGCAGAAACGAAAGCCGACATTGATGCTGATATCACTAAACAATTCAAGGTAAGGTAATTGAAACAGAGACGCAATTAGGGTGTATATGTTCATTAAACATTTAATATAAATCCAATTTAGCCCCTCAAAATACTGTCCAACTGTCCATAAACGCATGTGGAATTGTACGCCTTTTTATATTGAATAGTTTTGTTATAATTCCAGTGTTGAGACTATGGTATACTCAATGAGATAAAAATATTTTTTGGGACACAACATTTGATGACAGTGTATACGATGAAATTAACTTGATCACTTGCAAGTCTTTTTTTAAAAACAATTCTTTCGTCCGCCAAATGCTGAACAAGATTAAATTCCCTAACGTTTTACTCTAAAATTTTACCGGACATGAAAACATGTACCGAGGTTGCCATAAACAAAATGTATGTTTCCTCATTTTAGAGAAAATAAAATGAATGTCTTGAGAAGGGCGTTTACTGTACTGATACGAAATAATATCCCCCGAATGTTTCTGTATATTTGATTTAAAAAAAGATCAATTGTGTGGTGACCTGGCAACAAAGACATGTTAAATATCACTGTTCATCAATTTGATAAATCCAACTGTTCACCTTTAATATATTTGTGTTTGTTTGTTTGTTTGTTTGTTTCTTTAAAGCCGTACTTAGCAATGTTTAAGCTATATGACGGCAGTCTGTAAACAATTTAATTTGGACCAGACAATCCAATGATTGACGCCATGCATCAACCAAGTCATAGACCCTGGCCACTCGGTCCATTAAGCTGCCTCTTCCTCTCCTCTCTTGCTATTTATTAATAGTTTTGCATTTTGCGTTTCCAATGAAACATGCCTTGCTCATATGAATGTTCAAATGAGCGAAGGGTTCATTTCTGGAGCTTCGTTCATAAGATAGCTCTTTAATATTACTGTGAAGGTTGTCATATATGAAGATCTTGTACCTTTTGCTATTCGTGATATTTTTCCGCGTTCCAAGATATCTTTGACCTTCAAACTGAGGTAGGGCACTACTGAACTGGCGCTGATTGCTGTTCTGGAATTTAAACAAAAAACTCTTTCCAAAGGGGAAATTTCAACTGAGGGTAGGGTTTATTTCCAGTGCAAATATTATAAACCTTTCAATATTTCTAGTAGAATGAACATCCATTAGTTTATACCTTCACATTTTGAGAGCTAGACTTAAGTTTAAACGTGTGTTGGTTTTATGTCACGACTATAGCTCTTAAACTTTCTGTATTGCTTTGAGAGGAAAGATTAAGGCGACCTCTTACACGAAGGTCGAGTATTATTAACTTACTGGAGAGTACAGTGCAGTATTAAAAGAAGGGATTGTTTCGATATGTTTCCTGCGTACCAAGTATTATAAAACTGTCTATTTGCGGATAGATTTTGAAGTGCTTCACTAATTTACTTGTAATTCCAATTATGATACGCCCAATGACTTCAATGAGATCAAAATAATGTTGACAACACAACACATGATGTAAGTAAATTATATAAAATCTAATTGATCACTTGAAAGTCACGAGTACCGGGACTCTGTTTTTTAACCATTATTTGACAAGCACTGTAATCGTAAACTCGCATTTTACTTCAGAACCGAACCTCAAAATGGAAGCTTAACGCAGAAAGAAACTTGGATGGACCACTCAAGGACCTTCGCCAGCAAGGACAGGTAAAAGACAGCACCTTTCATCATTCCATTATGTGGTGCAGCCGTCTATGGCACCAAAATTAGCTGTGAATAGTTGCGTCCCTTAGACGTGCCAGAAACCTATGATCCTGGGTTCGAATCCCCCTCGCTCGTGTTTTTCTCCAAAGTTTAACAGAAATACTGTTCAAACCTGCGTAAAACAAAAATTACATATAATTATATCATAAGTCTGGACTGAGGGCACATTGAACATAAAGTGACACGGCGTGTTAGGGTTAGGGTTAGGGTTAGGGTTAGGGTTAGGGTAGCGCAGGGGAATATCTCTGTTCGATGCTGAATTCCTCAGGCTCAAAATCAGTGCCAACCTGGGATACGAACCCATACAAGGTGGATCCTGATAGATAACGGACGCAGCTCTGCACAGAGGGATTCTTGGCTGGAGACCATTTGCCCGCTCCTTCCCACTATACACCATGTTGTGTGTATAGTGATATTTTGTATTTTATATTCATTTTCCTGTGTTTGAGATGATATCCGCTAACAATACTAGTATGAGACGGATGTAATGTCCCTGTTACTGCTACCAGGCACATCTGGACAATCCAATATTGTAACCGTTGTTAATGTGTTAAAGAAACCATTGTAAATATGTGTTTTGAGAAACCTTGATTTTGACTTGGCCATCTATATACTATATCGCTACACACACATAAGTATTCTATTTATAATATCGCCTTATGCCTGTGAACATTCAATATATAATATCACCAACTACATGTAAACATTCTATATATAATGTCACCATCTACATGTCAACATTCTATATATATAGTATCGCCATCTACATGTCAACATTTGATATATAGTACCACCTTCTACATGTAAACATTCTATATATAATGTCACCATCTACATGTCAACATTCTATATATATAGTACCACCTTCTACATGTAAACATTCTATATATAATATCACCATCTACATGTAAACATTCGATATATAATGTCACCATCTACATGTAAACATTCTATATATGATATCACTATCTACATGTAAACATTCTATATATAACATCACCATCTACATGTAAACCTTCTATATATGATATCACTATCTACATGTAAACATTCTATATATAATATCACCATTTACATGTAAAGGTTATATATATGATATCACTATCTACATGTAAACATTCTATATATAATATCGCCATCTACATGTAAACCTTCTATATATGATAGCACTATCTACATGTAAACATTCTATATATAATATCACCATCTACATGTAAAGGTTATATATATAATATCACCATCTACATGTAAACATTCTACATATGGTATAGTCATCTACATGTAAACATTTTATATATAGTATCGCCATCTACGTGTAAACATTCTAAATATAATATGGCCACCCACATGTAAACATTCTAAATATAATATGGCCACCCATTTGTAAACATTCTATTTATAATATCGCCATCTACATGTAAACATTCTAAATATAATATGGCCACCCACTTGTAAACATTCTATATATAATGTCGCCATCTACATGTAAACATTCTATATATAATATCACCATCTACATGTAAATATTCGATATATAATGTCACCATCTACATGTAAACATTCTATAGATAACATCACCATCTACATGTAAACCTTCTATATATGATATCACTATCTACATGTAAACATTCTGCATATAATATCGCCATCTACATGTAAACCTTCTATATATGATATCACTATCTACATGTAAACATTCTATATATAATATCACCATTTACATGTAAAGGTTATATATATAATATCACCATCTACATGTAAACATTCTACATATGGTATAGTCATCTACATGTAAACATTTTATATATAGTATCGCCATCTACATGTAAACATTCTAAATATAATATGGCCACCCACATGTAAACATTCTAAATATAATATGGCCACCCACGTGTAAACATTCTATTTATAATATCGCCATCTACATGTAAACATTCTAAATATAATATGGCCACCCACTTGTAAACATTCTATTTATAATATCGCCATCTACATGTAAACATTCTAAATATAATATGGCCACCCACTTGTAAACATTCTATATATAATGTCGCCATCTACATGTAAACATTCTATATATAATATCACCATCTACATGTAAAAATTCGATATATAATGTCACCACCTACATGTAAACATTCTATAGATAACATCACCATCTACATGTAAACCTTCTATATATGATATCACTATCTACATGTAAACATTCTATATATAATATCGCCATCTACATGTAAACATTCTATATATGATATCACTATCTACATGTAAACATTCTATATATGATATCACTATCTACATGTAAACATTCTATATATAATATCACCATCTACATGTAAACCTTCTATATATGATATCACTATCTTCATGTAAACATTCTATATATAATATCACCATCTACATGTAAACATTCTATAGATAACATCACCATCTACATGTAAACCTTCTATATATCATATCACTATCTACATGTAAACATTCTGCATATAATATCGCCATCTACATGTAAACCTTCTATATATGATATCACTATCTACATGTAAACATTCTATATATAATATCACCATCTACATGTAAAGGTTATATATATAATATCACCATCTACATGTAAACATTCTATATATGGTATAGTCATCTACATGTAAACATTTTATATATAGTATCGCCATCTACATGTAAACATTCTAAATATAATATGGCCCCCCACATGTAAACATTCTAAATATAATATGGCCACCCACGTGTAAACATTCCAAATATAATATTGCCACCCACATGTAAACATAAGCATATGACATAAACACATGTATGTCATACCCAAATGCATTCGCCAAATGCATTGAAATACCTCCAAACGAACTAGACACACTTCTCTGCAAGTGTTTCATTAGTGTTCGAAAAACAAATGGGGAAAATTATGATCCAAACAGTCAAACAGGTTTTCAGAGCAGCATCGAGAGATCACTAAAACGAAGGGGTTATGGGTATTCACTCACGTCATCTTTAGAATTTTCACGATCACGGGAAGTATTAATTAAAGGAGAGGGAAAATGAACAAAATAAAGAAGAGCGTGGCAACTTACCAAGGATAGCTGACCCGATTGAGGACGAAGAATTGAATCGGTAATCAAATGAGCATAAAAAACTGTCTATGGCTCTACAACACAATCCATTTCGGGTTAAGAGGTGTCAGTGATCAGTACAACATGTGTTGGTTGGACATCACATTGCATGTTGATGGAGACGATCACGAATATCTTGAACTGTCCATGAGACAAGAAAAGAATAGATCTGGTAAGAATCCTCGTGATAGTCGCGACGTGAAGCCCAAAATGTGGTCTAATGTTGCTGATCCCTCTCGGTGCCCTGTGCCGGTGTATAAGTTGTATGCTTCCACGCGTCCACTCGACGTTTGTCGAGATAACGACCCCTTTTACATCGGCACCCACACTTGAGGCATGCATGCATAAACCTGGCTATCAGTGGTTTATCCGCTTTCGTATTTGGAAAAACAAACTTTCCTCTCTCATGAAAAACATGTGCGATGCCGCCAGTCTCCAAACATCGAAACGACTAATAAATCACTCTGCGCGCAAACATCTTGTGCAAAAGTTGAATGACAATAATGTTTCTCCAAATCAAACAATGCAGATCACTGGTCACAAAAACATCCATTCTGTGAACAATTACTGCCATATTTATCCTGACCAGCACAAGCAAATATCCAACATTATTTTGTGAAACACTCCATCCCACGCTGTGACATTCCAGCTTGTTGATGAAACTCCCGTCATGCAGAGCGGCCCCTCGCGTAATGTCCAAATCGCCAGTAGACAACACAGTCAACGGTCTCAAATTATAAATGTTTCTGATGCTGCCAATACTATGTTTTCTCGCAACATTACTGGTGGAAACATTAGGTTAAACCCCCAGGCCCGGTTCCAGTCAAAAGACGCCGGATCGTCATTAAAAGTGAGAGTGTAGGTGATACATATTGGCCATTGACATACAATTCTGTACACTGTCTTGAATGATTTATTTTAAACTTCAGCATAGATTGATTCATATATTCTTGATTCAGTCTTGAAACACTGTGACCGATACTTTGTATGATGTATTTCCTTCATATTCTTTTACTGACCCTATAATCGTAAGGCTTATTGTTGACAGCTACAAGCTATAATAAAAAGAAATGTGAAATATTAGAACTTGCAACTAATGTAACAAGTCCATGTTATTATCATACCAACATACCAACATTATTTTCCGGATTTTAAATGAAACATCTGTAATACACAATACACACTTCAACCTTTTCAACATGCAATTTACCCTTTAAGACATTTACATTTGTTATAGCATTGCTAGTTATGATTTACGTGTTCTAGCTTTTATATTTTGTTATTACTTACAAATTTTATGGGCCCTTTACACCCTACACAAGTTCATCATATTCTGTTTACATCCTCGTGCTTGGCCATGCACTGACTAAAACCCGGATGATTAACCAGGACAAACTAAAGAAAGTAGAGAAATTAAATGAAGCACTCATAAAAGAACTAAAGTGACTTAACACTGACAAATGCAAACTCTGACCTCTCCTCCGCGAGACATTCTTCAAGTGAGAGAGCGGTTTGATGAGAAAGTTTTATATAAGTGATATTACACAAGAGATATAATCAGATTATACAGAATCGTTTTTGTAACCGTAAAGTTTCAATTATTCAGCAAAAGTCTGTTCAAGAATTTTGTTTGAAATAACCCGACGAACTGTTTCTCTCAGCGAAGGAATATGCCATAAAGGAGTTAAGAGGTTGTTTATTTTGGTTCACTGTAACTTCACACGGCTATGGAAAACGTGTATCACTACGCACGATGTATACGAAAGATTTCGACAAGTTCCTGATGTTAATATTAATGCATTTATTCCTTTAAAGGGAAACAAAATTTTGACAATGACAAATAGAATTCATCACGAGCGTTTTCTAATATGGGAAATATCAACCTCGTCAAGTTAATCGGTATTTGACTCGCTAAAAGCTCGACAAATACCAATTAAGTAAGACTCGATTGATATTTCCCATATAAAAAAACCCACTCGTGATGAATCCTCTATATATAATATGTCCACCTACATGTAAACATTCTATATATAATATGGCCACCTACATGTAAACATTCTATATATAATATGGCCATGTACATGTAAACGTTCGATATAAAATATCGCCATCTACATGTAAACATTCTATATATAACATGGTCACCTACATGTAAACATTCTATGTATAATATCGCCATTTACATGTGCACATTCTATGTATAATATCGCCACCTACATTGTACATGTTTACAATCCATATATGATACTGCTATCTACATGTAAACATTCTATACATAATATCGCCATATACATGTACACATTCTATACATAATATCGCCATATACATGTACACATATTCTATGTATAATATCGCTGTGTACATGTAAACAATCCACTTATAATATTGCTATCTATATGTGCATATTCTATATATAATATCGCCATCTACATATGAACATTCTATATAGAATATCGCCATCTACATGTGCACATTATGTATAAAATATCGCCATCTACATGTGCACATTATGTATAAAATATCGCCATCTACATGTGTACATTATGTATAAAATATCGCTATCTACATGTGTACATTATGTATAAAATATCGCCATCTACATGTGCACATTATGTATAAAATATCGCTATCTACATGTGCTCGTTCTACATATAATACCGCAATCTACATGTGTACATTCTATATATAATATCGCCATCTACATGTGCACATTCACCTGCATAAAATATCGCTATCTACATGTGCACGTTCTACATATAATACCGCAATCTACATGTGCACATTCTATATATAATATCGCCATCTACATGTAAACAATCTATATCTAATATGGCTATCTACATGTACATATACCATCGTACATCCCACTGACAGGCCCATGCTACATAGGAAGTACTGCACACATAACCAACGTTACATTAACTATATTTGAGTTGTTACATGTATAAGATGAATATATTTACTTCAGAGTTTCGTCAACCCTTGTCAACCCGAGATATTTCCCATTGAAATCGACTGGATAAATAACTTCCTGATTAGACTTCCTGTATACATGCACACGTTTGTTAGAGTTATTGTCCGCTTTGAGAGAGTTCCGGATTAACGCTGTTTAATCCACACACGTGGTCCAGACTGTAGTTACGGTCGTGTAACACGAACCTACCATACATGTTGAAATAGCTTCTGCCAATGTGTCTTGACAGAATCATTTGGTATCGTGCATAATAACATATATTTCCATGTTGTAGGTTGTTCTACCCGGGAAAGATGTAATTCAGAAAATGTCCGTCAGTGAAGCGTTCAAAACATATCACAGGTAAGTAAGCTTTTGTCAATATACCCAACACAAATGGACATGCCAAGCCCTGGGCATTAATTGTATTTGCACAAATTGTATTTCTCAACTGTCTTTTCACTTTAAGTCTTGGCCAAATTTGTTTATAATTTAAATTTGTTTGAACTACGTGTATTTTTAAAATTGCCTTGAGTCTTATGCCCAGAAGGCGGTGGCTCATGGGCCAATCTGATGAATTGATTACATTTTTAATTAGTCTACTTGAGTATATCATCTCAGTATCCTTGGTGCTGCCAGCTGGAGACCCACTGGTATATAACAATTTGTTTATGATACTCCGTGGTCGGTGAGGAGCTGGGATGGTGAACCTTCTATTATCAACAATGGATCAACCCCAAAAATACATTCGAGCATTGGATGATGGCATGTCCTCATCAGCGAAACATTTCGGGTTGACAAGGGTTGACGACACACTCAGCAATATTCCAGATGAATGATGGCGGTCTGTAAATAATCGAGTTTGGACCAGACAATCCAGTGATTGACATCATGAGCATCGATCCACGCAATTGGGATGGATGACATGCATCAACCAAGTCAGCGAGCCTGACCACCCGATCCCGTTAGTCGCGGATCGCCTCTTACGACAAGCATGGGTTGCTGAAGATCTATTCTAGCCCGGATCTTCACGGGTCTCCCTATTTTGCTTGTTCCATATGTATGTTCATGTGTTTTTCATGTGAACAATTGACTTGTCTTTGCATGTGTTTGTGACGGGTGACACTGGTGGGACAGGATAGGCTCACATCTTCGCTAGCACATTGTATCATCGCTATTTAGAAGTTATTCGTAGACACATGCTCATGGTATAGTCGGAATCGTGCAATGGACTTATGAATATGAAATATATTTTGTTGCTTTAATTTCAGTCCACACGGAAAAAATAACATGGAAGAATAGGGAAATAATAGACCAGATAATCGAGGATTATGTGTAAAGATGTGTAACTCTATACTTGTTATTCAGTTACCTTGACAACGTAGATATGTTGTGCAAGCGGAAGCTGCGCATGGGCAAACTCGGAGACGGAGGCTGGGAGATATGTGATGACGCAGAATACCGACCAGTAAAGCCTTGCATTGTGTACTCGTTTGGGTGAGTTGTCACCTGACTGGAATATATAGTTGTCTTAGATACAGAAACAAACACTGAATATATTTTCATTATCCATGTATGAATGCCAATGAGAACGTTCATGTTGGTACCCCATATTCCAAGTCCCAGTTTGTGTATACCGTTAGAAATATAAAGGAAACGTGTAAGGAAAACCTTTTGGGCTCAACCTTGAAAACGGAATGTGGGGCACAAACTCGAATAAATCTTACATATTAACACTTATTGTTTGGTTAATCTGTTCTCCCAACCTAATGCGGCCCCTTTAAACGAAATTGAGGAAATTATTTTTTTATCAATAACATTCTCCTCTTGAGTTACAATAAAACTGTTTCAGCCACGTCTGAGCCAAGATTTAGGTCAGACATTAACATGAAATGATAGGCTAGGTTTTATTTGTTCGTTTGTTGTTTAACGCCGCCCTCAGCAATATTCCAGCTTTATGGCGGCGGTCTGTAAATAATCGAGTCTGAACCAGACAAACCAGTGATTGACATCACGAGCATCGATCCACGCAATTGGGATACAGGTTACGCACTGTTGAAAATATATATACACACATGAAGCTAAGTACACATGAGGAATGAAACTTAAACGATATAATCTGAGCTTTAGACACTCTTCAAGAAAAGAAACGCATAGTTATAAAATAAGGATATTTATTAAGCGGATGTAAAAGTATCTACACAGAATATGCGTGAACACAATCAAATGAAATTAGACACAGTGATCGACAACAGCATTAATTCAGTTCAGTCATTGCACATGTGTAGCCACAAGTACCTGGTCACACCACCTCTTGCAGCCGCCACTGCTCGACACCTCTTTGGCAGAGATTGCACAAGACGTCGGATGTTTTCGTGGGGAATTCTTCGTCATTCCTCCTGTAAGGCGATGGCGAGTTGTGCCAGTGTGTGGGGACGCTGGTGACGTTGACGGACGCGTCGTTCAATGTTCAATCGGGTTGAGATCAGACGATTTGGACGGCCATGGAAGGACATTGATGTTCTCATTAACAAGGACATTAACTGTCGCACGTGCTGTGTGGGGCCAGCTCCCTCTGGCGGTCCAAAGTTGGGAGGAGGTGAGGACGCAGAATTTGGTCTATGTATCGGTTTGCTGTAAGATTGCCCTGGACAACCACTAACTGTGATCTACCCCTGTAGGATATGGCTCCCCACACCATGACACTCCCTCCACCAAATCGGTCCACCTGTCGAACACAGTTCGGCGCAAAACGTTCATGTCGATGTCGGTATACACGTTGTCTTCCATCCCGTCGCTGAAGAAGAAAACGTGACTCATCGCTGAACCAAACGCGTCGCCAGTTCCTGAGATCCCATGCCTGTACTCTGTTGCACCACCGGACACGTCGTTGACGGTGTAGACGTCGCAAGACAGGTCCAACATTTGGTCGTCTCGCTCGAATTCCCACTTCCCTCAGACGATTTCTGATGATTTGGTTGGAAATTCTTTGCATACCAGGCACTTGTCCTGCAGTGTCCGTTGCTGTAGCAAATCGATTCCGAAGGTGATGCAAACGGATGTACCGATCCTGAGCAGGGGTGGTCACTCTTGGTCTTCCACTTCTGAGATGATCTTGAGTCGAATTAGTGCGGGTATATCGATCCTATAGTCGAGATATGGTGCTTTGGTGAACGTTGAAGTGTCTTGCAACGGCAGACTGGGACTCCCGCTGCAGTTAATCTTCGCATTTTTCTATCTCCGTTCACGTCAGAAAATTCGTTATGAACTGATGAATTTTGTATGGTCTTTTATAGTCAGTGTTTCTAACTCTTGTTTCCAACATTTTGCACGTGCATTGTGCTGAAAACCTTTCTGAAAGCAATTTCGTGCATCCTTTGCATTTTTGCTGATAAACGTTTACAAAAAACATTTTGAAATGTGTTTGCGCCCAATGCACAACAAACATGACATGACGGGAATCAAACATAAGAATTGTCTTTATGACGATTGCTGGGAAAACAAATCTAATTGGAATTCTCAAAACACCTATGCGTTTCTTCTTTTGAAGAGAGTATTTACCCACGGCCTAGCCATTAATAGCTATCGGGGTCACGGGTGGCTCAGTCGTCTCAGGCGCCGCGATTCGCTGTGCAGAGTTGCGTTACTTTAGCACGCCAGAAACCTATGATTGTGGGTTCAAATCCCGGTTCGCCCCGATTATGTTTCTAGGTTTGTCAGCATCACCGAAGTGGTAAACGTCTGAGACCTGCATCACTTCGGGCTTTACTCCCACATTAAGCTGACACGCCGCGATATAACTGGAATGCTGTTAAAAGCGGCGTTAAACCCAACTCACTAATTTTCACTGGGAGGTCAAAACTGGGGACATTCGTGACCAACTCGTGTTAATTCGGGACAAGCCGAATAGCGACTCGTGCCCCTCTCGTGGCTATTTTTGCGACCGGGTTCCGTCTTAGCGCAAACGGGCATACCCAAAACAATTGTCAACTCGTTGCGTAATGGTTCACATATTATTTCCCCATGTATTAATTGTATTTCAGATGCAATTTCAAGCACATTGGGACGTGCGGAATTATACAGTATTATTGAACACATTTAACTGTGTCTGGGGTATATTTTAGATGCAAGACATATTTAAAATAAAAAATTATTTCTGAGGGATTCTTTGACGAAGAACTTAAAATCATACGCGCATTCTGATTGGTTTGTCGTATTTTCGCACATAACATTCATCGATAGGGGGACGAGTCTTCTTGCAGGATACATTCGCTGCGAACACCTGGCATCATTACTATCTGATAGTGATTCATATAAGCACATGGTCATCATGTAGTCGGAATCGTACACTGGACTTGACTGGAGTAGAAATTTATTATGGCTTTCGAAACGTGGGGCAGTCAGGTAGCCTAGTGGTTGTAGCGTTCGTTTGCCACGCCGAAGACCCGGGTTCGATTCCCGACATGGGTACAATGTGTGGAACCCATATCTGGTATCCCCCGCCGTGACATTGCTGGAATATTGCTAAAAGCGGCGTAAAAGCAAACTCACTCACTCACTTTCGAAACGTTTTTATCACTTTTATCTAAACGAGTGCGCACAACCATTAATGTACATGTACACTCACGCCGTATTGTTTCTACATGTAAAAGGTGAAATTATGACACATGTGTATTTCTTTTTACATCAGTATTATTATTAGTAATATTGTTTTTTCTTTCTACAGAATCAGCAACGATTTTTCTTTTGACGATGACACGGCCAAAAACTTTGAGTGTGACATCTTTTCCTTTGATCCGAGGTTTGTAAACGTGCTTGTAATGTATCGCTTGTTTAACTTCGGACTCAGATCAGCAATATTCTAATAATCTGACAGCAGTCTGTAAATAATCGCGTCTGGACAAAGCAATGATTGATATTATGAGCAAGTGACCCGCCGCCAGGATGCGATCGCGATGACGCGCTCTGGACGAAGTCAGCGAGCCTGACCAACTGATCCATAAGTCGCCTCTTACGACCTGCATAAGCTGCTAGAGAACAGTTCAAACCAGAAAACCACACACGGTAAAACATGATAATGAGTGAGAATGAAAATCCTTTACTTATGCAGAGTTGTGTCCCTTAGTTGTGCAAAGACTTTGTGAATGTTCGATTCCCATATAATAGAATCCTGGTTTGTCAGCACCAAACAGGTTCTCGCGGATTCCAAGACAAAGGCCTGCATCCCTTCGAGCTTTCCTTATCAATTTAGGGACAGCCATTTGATGTTTTTACAGATATTTTTTTTCTTTTCTGTCACTGCTTCAAAACATGCATATTTCTTTTTAATAATACATTTTCTCGGAAATCAAGCATGCGTGGGAACAATTCATACTCAACAACAAAAGTCCCCGTGACACCAATATTTTAGTGTATTTTTCAAACAAGTAAAGTTTGGTTTTCAATAGTGTAGTACATGTATGGATTCAATCACAAAAACGCAACTGCTACAGAAAAGCATGCATTCCATGCAAAAGTTGACTTTTATGCAAGCCCCATGCATTTCACTACCCAAGAATGGGTATAAAAACATGTGCGTTAACGGGATTCCATATGCATTGTTTAGCATCGTGCTGACAACAACCACTCAGAAAAATTAACAAAATTACGCAATTATTCAACATTACGAAATGCCACGCCTGTCCGAAAATGAGCGTGTGCGAGCCATTGGTATAGTTGAAGCACGATCGAGTCAAGACAAGACAATTGTTGCAAGACAATTTAACGTCCACAGAAACACCATTTGGTGTTTATGGCAACGTTGGCAACAGACGAATGCAGTCAGAGACCATCCTCGGAGTGGCAGGCCACGCGTAACCAATAATCGACAAGGCAACTGGATTCGAACAACATACCTACGAAATCGATTCCAGCCAGCAACAGTGACTGCAAGAAGCACCCCAGGCCTTCGACGAATATCTTCACAAACCGTACGTCGTCGCCTCAGATGTGCAGGGATTGTCGCCAGAAGACCCACCAGACGTCCCATTTCCACAGGAAACCACCGTCAAGCACGTCAACAGTGGTGCAGACAGCGTCTACGCAGGACGGCCATGCAGTGGGGACAAGTTCTATTCACTGACGAGTCTCGTTTTCACCTCAGCCACAGCGATGTACGGATTCGAGTGTACCGACGTCGAGGTGAACGTTACGTCAATCATTGTGTCAACAAAACAACGTGAATGTCATCCCCTGGCCGGGTCGCACCCCTGATTTCCCACCAATCGAGCACGATGTGGGATGAGATGGATCGGCGCCTTCGACGTCGACCACAGACACTCCAGGAACGCCGAAACATGCTCGAGCAGATATTGACAGATATCCCACAGGACTTTAATTTAACCAGTTGAACACTTACAGGGGTCTTTTATCTGTTGCAAACCGAAATTGTTTCAGATTTGGTGAAAAACATAACTTTGCATTAAATCTCATTCAATGTCACAGGAACTTTTGTTGTTCAGTATATTTATTTGGTAAAAGGAACGATAAAAACATACGATAAAACTATTACAAGGCTCACACAGGCTTGAAAAGGCCTTGAATTTTAAAGTCCCTCTTGAAAAATGTCAATCCTGAAACCTTTGAAAATCACAAAATAGCTTGACATGTATTTGTCAGTAAAAGTATTGAAACACACACAAATATGTACAAGGGTATTTAAGCGTGATTTATGACAGTGATAGATTTGTGTGTCAAAGGCCATTAGACAAATTATTTTTTAGTTTTGAAAATTTGTGATATTCACACTGCTTGTTAGGTCTTACGACTAATATATAGTAAGCTTGATTTAATAATATATTGACACATTTGGGCTAATGACCCAACCAAAACAATCTTGAAAATGACAGTTGAAATCCTGGATAATCATTAAAAAGGACTGGAATTCAAGTGTCCCACATCTGCATGAACCTTGTATAATTGTTCGCCTGATATTCGGATGTTCTCAACAAATTGTGTTGCGAAAATATACTTCACATGCGACCAGATGTTACGTTTTGAATTGATTATCATGGTGGAGGTGCGGGAAAAGGCTTGCAAAAACAGTTTATATGTCTCTGTCTCTGATTGCATCTATATTATATTAATAATGACACATGCATCATATTTCAGTATGGCACTTGCAAGTTACCAGAGATCACCACATGTACGGTTTTTGAGATTAGGTATTGGCGGAAGGGACTCCAAGAGCGGTTCCTGGGATCTTCATACATTGACCAGTTTCAAGACAATGTTGAACCACACAGGGGTCAGTGATATATATTGACATTTTACATCATTAATTAGGAACCTCCACAAACGTATTTACAATAACCGTTTTAAAAGTCTCTAATTTGGTCCATGTTTGGACGAAACAAAGACGTTTTCTCGTCATTCGTCTCACTAAATTATAAATGAACCGACCCTAAATAAAAACATTCATCCACGCCATCGGGAAACGGCGACCTGCACTCACCACCAGTCCATTCTCTCACCTCGTATGATGAGTATTGGCTACTGGAGCCTGTATTCGTATCCGGAATCCCCTTTCGGTTTATGCAGAAGCCGGGGGCACGGGTTGCCCAGTCGTCTAAGGCGCCGCGATTCGCTGTTCCTTGGGCACGCTAGAAACCTATGATTGTGGGTTCGAATCCCGGTTCGCCCCGATTATGTTTCTAGGTTTGTCAGCGCCATACCCGTGCTCGTGGGTTTCACCGAAGTGGTAAACGTCTGAGACCTGCACAACTTCGGGCTTTCCTCCCACATTAAGCTGACACGTCGTGATATAACTGGAATACTGTTAAAAGCGGCGTTAAACCAAACTCACTCACTCACTATGCATGATCCAGTATACTTTGTCTGATTGATGTTAGAATGCAGCTTGGTACCTTAGCGGGCTATTATTAAAGCGGTATACGTCAGGACCAGCACCATCTGCCGCACGCACGCACGCACGCACGCACGCACGCACACACTGCACGTTGTAAAAAAGTGAAACAATATTGAACGCGGGGTTAAACCTTATCTCCTAATCTCTTTGCACATCTCTTAAACCAAAATGTGTTAGGGAAATTTGTGACACAGTAAAACCCTTCCTTTTGTTTTCCAGAAATACATTGATGTTCTCAAGATGGACGTTGAAAGTTCAGAATGGCCAGCGCTGCCCAACATGATCTCATCAGGGGAACTGTCTAAAGTCCGACAGCTTCTTGTGGAATACCACGGACCTTGTACCACAAGAAATGATTGCATCAGTAAACTGAACATTTTGAAAGACATCTATGATAAAGGATTTAGGAAGTTTTATGTCCACAAAAATTTTCATTGTGTATTGAACAATGATTTATTTCCTGTTGTAAGAACAATTTGCTATGAGATTCATTATGTAAATATCAACATACAGTAAAGTTTATCAGATCTCATCGTTTTTCAAAGTTTGTGGGCATTTACAAATTCACGGTAGTTCCTAATATTCTGCCTCTTCCTTTGCTCTTGTTATATAACCAAGTCGTTACCCTCACATGAGAATAATAGTCTTTGCTTGACCTGCTTGTATGTCTGTCGCCGACTTCAATTATTTGTCACTAATTATAATCATTTAACGTTTCCCCATACATTGCTTTTGCAAATTATCTTGGCCTGTTGATCTGACCTTACCTGTGATCTGGCACGTGTCGTGCGCTATGTCACAGGTAGGAGTCCATTATCATAATTTGTATTGTGTTCTTTTTAAAAGGTATGAGTAAGTTTTTGGAATCGTTTAATGTCACTGTAAATTTCACTAATGTATATGATAGACATGAATGTGATTAAATATTTATTTTGAATTAATAAAGGTAATTGACTATAAGGTATTGGTTGAATCGGAAGTGTCGAACCCGGGATAAGTTGAACTATTTCTGTGGTCCCGAGGAGTTTGAGATAATGGGTGGTAAGTGAGTTGGGTTTAACGCCGCTTTAAACAGTATTCCAGTTATATCACGTCGAGTAACTTAATGTGGGAGGAAACCCCGAAGTTGTGCAGGTCTCAGACGTTTAATACTTTGGTGAAACCCATGTGCATGGGCGTGGTGCTGAAAACATAGAAATATAATCGGGGTGAACCGGGATTCGAACCCACAGTCATGGGCCATACGGCGACCGTGCGGACAGACTGGCGCTACCGCTACACATCTGACATGGCTACGGCGTGACTAATTGCTACGGCGTGTCTAATTGCTACGGCGTGTCTAATTGCTCCGGAAAAACCTATAAATTAAATGGTTATAATTCCGCGCTATAATTCAGTGGCAACCCCTATGGCCTGTAAAAGTTAGGGATACACCCTAGGGCGACCCTGGGGCCCCTTCAGGTATCTCTCGATTTCGGGGCGCTACGGTCGCCGTATCCTAGCCGAAGAGCAAATGTGACTGAGGCGAATACGTGACACAGCGAGAGAAGTACGTAATATTGAATAATGATCACTGCTTTCAAACACTGACATTCAAATAACATGCAAATTATACCAGAAGCATAAAGTATACACTTGAAAATTGGATCAGACGAAAACATTACATACGTTAACAAAACATTTCCAGGCTGAAAACAGTCGCCGAAACAATCAAAACCAAAGGTCCAAAACACAACAGTTACTGTTATACCTCAACAAATACATCACCATCGAATACCATTTCTTGTTTGTTTCATGGTAGGCCGTCGATAAACATTGATGAATACTTTCTTGTTTCAAAGAAAACAATTTGCATTCTCACCCCGTTTTCTCTTTCGTGGAGCGTAATGTCCGAGTAACTCTCCATTCCTTAAACATAATGGAGCAGAAGCCCTTTTGACGAAATATTTTGTTGTGGAAAATATTTGAAAAATAAACCAGAACTCTTTGTTCTATGTATTAAAACTGCGTGCATCGCCCTTGCGTGATGCACGAGGAATGCGTTCTCTGCCGCTGTTGCACGAGCGCCAAGCTCCGTAGCGAGCTGACATTTACAATACATGGTACACGGCTCTTCATGATTTCGTTGGGTCCTAAACTAGTATTTATCAATCGCGTGCACATTGTTAATACATGCTGATGGAAATAATAGGAAATATACAGCCCAGAACAAGGATATATTACCTGATTTGTTTTTTGTCGTCCACGGTTCATCTTATTACTATACATATGAACATCGCTGAGGTAACCTGCTTTTACACAAATTATATACATTTTTTTACCTTTTGAGCATTATGCAAAATTATGAAAATATTATGAAGTTAATTTCACACCATACATTCATGTGCTGCCGTAGCTGATGTTGACAATTACACGTCCTCAAATCTAAAGGTGCGGGTTCGAACCCCGCTGGCGACACATGTTTTCGGGACAAAAATGAAATTCCGTGTATTCAGGTGGGAATTAATTCAAATGTCGGTTCAAGATAATGTAAAGTTGACAAACAACTCTCCAGTCGTGAAAAATAATGGAGCGTTCAAACAATAGAATGACGTCACAGATGTGATTTAATTGTTCCACTTTCTTTTGTGGGGCGAACAGCCGTTGGGACTCTGGGTAGGTGAGTGAGTATGGTTTTACGCCGCTTTTAGCAATATTCCAACAATATCACGGCGGGGGACACCAGAAATGGGCTTCACACATTGTGCCCATGTCGGGAATCGAGCCCGGTCTTCAGCGTGATGAGCGAACGCTTTAACCACTAGGCTACCCGACTGCCCCGACTCTGGGTAAGAATAGAGGTCTCCAGGTACCCATGCTTGTCGTTAGAGGCGACTATATAGACCGGGTGGTAAGTCTCGGTGGCTTTATTGCACATTATTTTCCCCAATTTGCTCGAATCGATGCTCATGACGTCAATAAGTGGATTGGGGCGGTCGGGTAGCCTAGTGGTTAAAGCGTTCGCTCTTCACGCCGAAGATCCGGGTTCGATTCCCAACATGGGCACAATGTGTGAAGCCCATTTCTGGTGTCCGCCGTGATATTGCTAAAAGCGGCGTAAAAACCATACTCACTCACTCACTGTTGCCGGAATATTACTAAACCGGCGTAAAACAATACTCACGTACTCAATGAGTGGATTACCTGACGATTATTACATACCTGCGTTATAGAACTGGAATATTGCTGAGTGCGGTGTTAAACAACAAACAATGGAGAGGGCCAAATATATACTGAATCGCAAAAGAAACGTCACCATGGATAGATACATGAGAAACCTTTTTTGTCCAAACACTGTAAACATACTTTGAGACATTAAAAAGATGAAACTAGGAAAAACTGATCATCAAGGTTGAAATTAAAGTATTAGATGTTCTTAAAGTGAAACACAACACTAGTCTCTGAGAAAATGGCATCACAAGTCAGTATCTCGTGTGTCCGCCATGTGCATTGATGACTGCCGTGCACACACTCTGAGGAACGCCTGACGCAGTTCAGCTGCAGTTGTCGACCTTGGTCGGACGTCATTCTTGACTTGATCAATGTACCGAGCTGCTGTGACACCATTGCCTCTCCCTGGACCGATGTTTTGGGAGACCACAGGGCCGAACCTCTGTGCATGACCAATTCCACCACACACCCTGATGCTCGGACCACCCCACGAGGTTCTCTCAACAACACAAGCATCCGAATAATGTTCTCCATCGTGTCGCCAGACTCTCTCTCTCTCTGCCATCTGCTGTTGAGACGGTAATGGCTCTCGTCTGAGAAGAGGACTCGTCTCCACTGCTAGTGGCGCCAATGATGGTGCTGTGTTGCCACTAAAGAGGGTCCTGGCGATGACGTGGTGTCTGAATGGGTCCTCCTTGTGGCCTGTGACAGTGGAGGTGTCTGCTCGTCAATCGTCGACGCACGGTGTCCGCACTAATGTGTCGCTGGTGTGTCCCCAAGGTCTGTCTATCAGTTTCCGCAACAGTGACAAAGTGATCTTGAAGACGCTGTCGCACAATCTGACGATCCTGACGTCGTTGGTGACCTTTGGTCTTTCATCTGTAGTGTTGGTGGTCTGGTACCGTTGCTGGAGCCTGTATATGGTCCTTACGTGGACTTGAAATGCATTGTCTACTTGCCGGGCGGTTTGTCCAGCTTGCAATCGTCCACGGGCTTGGTGTCGCTGATTTCTTGTCAATCTTGGCATGTGGTACCAATTCAATAACGAATGAATGTTATCCGATCTGGGTGGATTTTTATAGGACAAGAAATGGGGGTACGCACGTGCAATTTCATGTTGCACGTTCATCACGTGCATCGGGTTACCATGGACGTTGCCGTGATGCGTTTGGGCGATCGATGTTATTGTCATCTGCTTTGTTTTTTATCATCAAATTTCATTGTTCTGGACAAGGTAATACTAAATTTTAGAAACTTTGACCAAAATTACCCAGATATTGAAATAAAAACTTTTCATGCAATTTTACTTGGGGTGACGTTTCTTTTGCGGTTCTGTATAGTAGTCAATCAATGCGGTTTTATAAACGGTGATGTCTCTGTGTGAGTGAGTGAGTATGGTTTTACGCCGCTTTTAGCAATATCCCAACAATATCACGGCGAAATAGGCTTCACACATTGTACCCATGTTGGGAATCGAACCCGGGTCTTCGGCGTGACGAGCAAACGCTTTAACCACTAGGCTTCCAGACCGCCCCGTGATGTCTCTGAAGCTGGATACGCCGTCCAGCGACTCTGGGTATTTAAGGGTTTTACAGACATCACTTTGTACCAGACGATACCGTACTCACATAAGTGACCTGGGCCCACGTGCACAAAGCGATCTTTAGCGCTATCGTAAGCCTATGTTAAAGTATAGGAGTTACGACCATCTTAGCGCTAAGATCGCTTTGTGCAAGTGGGCCCTGATCAACAAACTGCAGGATTAACGAGTCACTGATGAAGTAAAGTTCTTTTTGAATAATCAATAAAGGAGACAATACCCTTTCTATAGCCATAAGACATTTCGGCGATACGTTAGGACCATTTTGCGATTCCGACTATATCATAAGCATGTGCATCTTCCCGAGGCAAGAGAGTTAACTGATTATAAAAGTCCAGTTTCCACCCTTGCCGAACTAGGCTGGTATTATGGAGTTACATTTTGGCTGACCTAACGAGTCTAGCATAGTCCAATCAAAATCGCACACCGTAATCGAAATCCGGTTAATAAACTGTCGTGCAGTTTTCGGTCGATTGCAGGATTTGCAAAGTATGTGCACCGCAAACTCGTTGTCAGCAGATATTTTCGAAATCTTTTCATGTTTGTTATCAAGGTGCTCACGTGATTTGATGCACTTCGCGATGTAAGACACGTTTTATCACAATATAGATCTTGCGCCACCATTTTGAGTGAAGCAAATGCAAGTGATACGAGAGGTGGAATCTGATTGGTCCAATGGAGAGGTTTAGAGGGGACATAACTGGTAATAGCCAGTGGTGGCGCTACGATCGGGCCAAGTAATTCCAGTCTAGTTCGGCTAGGGTGGAAACTGGACTTTTAAAGTCAATTAACTCTCTTGCCTCGGGAAGATTAAGCATGTGCTTCTGAATCAAAATCAAACAGTGATGACACCAGGTGTTCGCTGCTACTCAGTTGGCACCCGTCACAAACACATTAAAAAATCGTCCTGGATGTGGGGTTTCCAGATTAACGGGGTCCGGGCTAACGAGGTCTCAGTGTATAAGATAACTGAAGAGGTGAGTGAGAGTATGTTTTTAGCCGCTTTTAGCAATATTCCAACAATACCACGCCGGGGGACACCAGAAATGGGCTTCACACATTGTACCCATGTCGGGAATCGAACCCGTGTCTTCGGCGTGACAAGCGAACGCTTTAACCGCTAGGCTACCCGACCTCCCCGACTCTGGGT